AATGCTTTAAAAATTCCATTTACAAAACAATTGTTTATAATAAAATTCTATTCAATCGGTAGACTCATAACGATTGAAAACAATGTTTTTGCTTGAGTTTGGGTTTCACCAATTCGTAAAAAACAAAATAAAACAAAAAAAAAAACTAATTAAGACATGCGTGTCCATCAACCTTAAACAATAATCTTTGTCAATTTTATTTTTCAGTCTTTATGATGGTCGATACTTGATCTATCTCTTACTGTTACATCCCCGGGCAACGCCGGGCTCTACTACTAGTCTTAGATATTTTCTATAAGATAAGCTTTTAATTGCTTTTATAACTTAAATATATTATTGGCGGTATTGTAAGAAAATAAAATTCGCTGAATAATTATTTTTAGAAGAATTGTTTCAGTTTTATATTTAAAATTTACAAATTTTTAAAAATCTTTTAAAAATATTCGGCCAATAGATATGAAATTAAAACTCTATTGGCTGAAGATAAACGGAAAAGCTTACTACAATTCGAGGATCCCTAATATTTGAAAAAAGTATTCGTTTTTGTGCGTATAAAGGCCGAATATTTTGTAAGTACGGACGTCCATACAAGATATTATCCAAAAAAAAGAAAAGAAAAAAAATGGCTACCAATAATAAATTTTAAAATAAGTTCTCAAAAAGCGTCTTCGTTAGCCAAAGTATGTAGAACTTATATATAAAACTTATATATAGAAATTAGAACTCAAATATTTTCTTAATTTTCAATGAGTACTGTGCATATATATATATATATATATATATATATATATATATATATATATATATATATATATATATATATATATATATATATAAATATATATCATGCAAACACAAAAGATTATAATATAAGTTTAACAATGGTAAGTGCGTATAAAAACTCCGGAGTCAGGATGCTGAAGGTAGTATCAATCACCTAAGTCAAAAACCTCTTACAGAAAAATGGCCCCTGTATGTTAAAAAAAATACTTCCCTGCTATATTAAACTAAAAGTAAGAATATGTTTGGTTATTCAGATTAATGAAAATTTAAATCAGTTAATTCCCTCAAATTACGTTTCAGGAATTAATATTTAATTTCTGAGATATTTAAAAATAAAGGGATTTTTTTTTGACAGATCTCTCAATATGGATGGATTTACTGATAAGGAGAAGAATATTCCAATCAATTTAAATTTCAATAAGTTTAAATTCCAATCAATTTAAATTCGGTTTGAAATACACCAAAGTATTTTGCTTGTTGCTTTGCTAATCTGTTAGTTTTGAAGTAAGACTAAAATTTTAATTTAAAGAAAAATTTTAATTCTTTAAATGAATGTTAAACTTTAATTCTTTAAATGAATATGGAAGATGAAGCCTTGTTTGAATTGATTGAAGCCAAGCTCAAGCACGCGTACATTTTGGCGGAACTTGTTCATTCACAAAGCACCATCATTCGACACCTCCAAAAGCTTAGCCTTGTGAACAGACCGTTTCGAGTGGTTCCTCATGAACTGACCAATGACCAGGCTCGATGATATGAGAAAATAGGAAAAAATGCTGGCAAATCCTCAATGTGCCTGTTTTTGTCATCGAATGGGGATGATAAATTTTCGCAATCGTAATAAAACTATGACATTCTTTTCGAGCTACCGAATTTAAAGTTTATCTTTAATTCGCTTTGAGACCGTTTCATACCAAAATTCCTTTCTCTCGATAGACAATGAAAACATATTCTTTTAGCTCTATTGTCCCAGACGCTTTGCAGGAGAATCGCTTAGAAGATCAAAAATGTTCTTTTTTTTTATCACTCAATGACTTTTGCGAAAATCAGTTTTTGTTTTTCTAACAAGACAAACATTGAAACCACACTCGCACGATAAGCAAAATGTTTAATGTTGTCAGAAACTGTCATGTGTGTAAATGAAAAGCGGCTCCATATCTGAACAAAGTTTTTCTCTTCTCGATGTGTGAAGCAAAAATCTCTTAACAAAGAGACGACATATATATATATATATATATATATATATATATATATATATATATATATTTCTGATGAGGAGATATTATGTACACTATTTACATTATTCGGACTAATGTTTCTCATCTTTGTCGCCATATTTATTACAACTTTTCGGCCGTTGTACGCTCCGGACTTCTTCAGGTGGTTGGAATGTGGAACTGTACCCTTTATTTCGCTCACTGGGTTAGACTGTTCTAGTTCTACATGCCATATTTAATGGATGTCAGTTATCAGTTATCACCTGTTAATTCCCCTCTCCAAGTTCTCCACTGCCTTAACCAGGTAGTGAACTCAATAACACATGGCACAGTGGATAAAGACATTGGTTAGATCCAGTGACAGGACCCAAAGAGTGTGAATTGAATTCAATATATATATATATATATAGGGAAATTAGTAAAAAATAGCAATGATTAGTTTTAGAAAAGAAAATAAACTCTTGAACAAGAAAACTGAAATAATGGTTAAATATAGGCATATAAATAAATACTTACTTTGCCATCTACGTACTAAAATAAATATTAGATGAATAAATAAAATAAAACAAAGAATAAACGTAAAATAAAATAAGCGAACAAATATATATATATATATATATATATATATATATATATATATATATATATATATATATGTATATGTATGTATGTATATACACTATGTTTACTGTCATGTTCACGACGTTTCGAATGTTGTACGCCCGGTCTTCTTCAGGTGATATTTATTGGAATTTCGAACCGGACCCTTTATCTATTTCATGGGGGTAGATTGTTCTAATTTCACGTAACATGACTTTGGCTATTTCAATTTTTAGTTAATATGAATAAAGTGTCTTTGGCAGTTTTTGACAACTTGATACGTTATATCTTTAATCGGATACAACTTGTCCAATCGGTGCTGAATTATTATTTTTTAATTGTCAATTATAGCGTATGAATTATGAAATGTTTATTCTTTATTTTACAGCTTTGATAATTAGTAGTGAAAAAAAATGCCAATTAGATCCATTTTACGCTACCTGTGGGCGAAAAAGAATAAGTGCAATGACAGTGGCAAAAGAAATTAATTATGAAGAAAGGCTGAGGAAGCGTTAACGAACAGATGTCACAAAACTTGATCGAGCATCACAAGGATGGTGACACCAGTCTCGAAGACAAGTTAATATCACGGAATCCTTCTCTTTTGGAAAGTGAGGCTTTGCTTGAATTGGTAGAACAACAGCCAAGCGCAAGCCCGATTACATTTTCGGCAGAACTTGTTCCTTCACAAAGCACCACCATTCGACACCTTCAAAAGCTTGGCCTTTTGAACAGAAGCTTTCGAGTGTTTCCTCATTAAAAGACCAGGCTCAATGATGTGAGAGAATTTGCAAACAACTGCTGGCAATTCCTCAAGCCCGTTTTGTCGTCGAATTGTAACTGGGGATGACAAAGTTTCGTAATCGTAATAAAAGAAATCAGAGGCTTCATTCGGATCAAGTTTGGAAAACTTTTTGTCAAACAAGTGCGGTTTGAACAGGTCATGTGTGTTTGGTGGAATTCTGAAGCAGTGCTGTGACACTTTCAAGACTTGTACAAGATGGTCTGGCTGTGGTCGCTGGACTTTATATTTATGATATTATATTATATTCCTTATAACATATAAACTATAATGTGATTTTCGTGTTTTTTAAGCTTTACCTATAGTTGCATTCTTCACGAGTTACTTACGCTGGTTTTGTGCTCTGTTTATATTCATTTTAAAGCATTTCTAAGGTGTTACGTCCAGCTTTCGCCCAAAACAGGATTACCTCACGGCTTTTGGAATTAATTAAGGCGGAGTACTACTTCGGTATATATCTATGCGCGTTTGGTTAAAACAACGAAATTTTCTTTGTTGACAACGTTCGTTTATACTTCAATATTTCTAATAAATATTTTTTAAATTTCTGGTTGGTATTAATAAATAAAACTTACACTTTTTTAGGACATTCGGTTAAACATCACAAGGCATTTTCAGTGATGTTTGTTTATTTTTCTTTTTAAATATCGCGTTTCCTGTGTTGGCTTTTATCGCGCTTCGCCTGTTTACAAAGGACGTTAGTGTCTTCTCGTCATCAAACCTGTTTCGGCCTTAAGACGCACTTCAGGATGGATTCCTCATGTTAAATAATTTTAAAAAGAACTCGTGTACCAGACCCCTCTAAACATCTCTATCTTCATCATTAATTTTTCTCATTTTAATGGAATATATTTCGTATGTTGGGTTCAAGGTTTGATGAAATTCTGTTGATCTTTGGTTGATTATTTTTCATGATCAATGGCTCGAGTAACGCCATTTGCAATTCATGTGGTACAGCACATTTGTGTTGTTGTTAAGGATTTGTCTGATTCTCTGGGTTATTTCCGGTTATATTTTCCTTTCATTTGGTTTATGATTTGTGTTTTCAGTTGCGCTATTGTTAAGAAACAAACAAGTAAGCATCGTAAGAATGGCTAGGTTTAGTCGAAAGTGTGTAGACATAGGAAGTTTATTTAACAATACCACTGGAAAAAAATAAACAGACATACAAAAATCCGAAAAGAATTTAGAAATATTGAAAATCTAAAAGAAAAAAAGTCAACAAAGAAATTTCGTTGGATTTTAATCCAACATGCATAAATGAAAGATTATTACCAGATATATCAAATACGTTTGAGTAATAGAAAAGTCAGATGAAAAAATAAATCTATTAATTCATTAGAAATATATATTAGATTGAGTTATTATTATTATTATTATTATTATTATTATTATTATTATTATTATTTTGGGGTTACCAATTGGCTCTCTTACGCTAGTTGGCAATTAGTGTAGACGAAGCATAACTTTATATTCAAAACAGAGAAATCATCCCTCGAAAGTGGCGTGTTGCTAAATCCAGAGGGTCAACAAGTTTAACCGACCGATCCATTATCAACGTAATGACATCGAACAGGATACTTTTTGAATTTCCAGTAATGCACCGTTTTATATCTATCTATCTATCTATCTATCTATCTATCTATCTATCCCAGTCGGTTCATATCTATCTTTCTCACTGTTCATTATCTATCTATCTATCTATCTATCTATCTATCTATCTATCTATCTCAGTCTGTTCATATCTATCTATCTATCTATCTATCTATCTATCTATCTATCTATCTATCTATCTATCTATCTCAGTCTGTTCATATCTATCTATTTATCTCAGTGTGTTCATATCTATCTATCTATCTATCTGCATGTCGGCATGTAAAATGAAGTCAGCTGATCTATTTTTATGCATTCATGTACGGAAGGCGCAAATAACAATTGGTTTGTTGTTCTTCCACTTCTGAATCCTGAGTTACAAGTGGGAGGGAAGTGGCTGAAGAATTTGATTGAATCGTGCTTGCTTCGTTGTTCTTGGCGCCATACTTTCATATTTGGCATCGTTTTGTGGTGCCCTATGAAAAGGTGGCGACAAACTGACCTTGCCAGGGGGAAACTGCTCCGGGATTCAAGAACAACTAACGTAAAACTCTTTGCCTCCTTAAACTTCCTTTTTCTTTGCCTTTTCTTTCTTCCTATATTTCTTCCTTTTTCTTTTCTTTCGCTATTTCCAGAATTCGTTAGAAATAATAAATAACTGATCATCTTATTTCAGTGTTGCCTTCACTGTGTGTTTTCTTTTCTTTTCTTTCTTTCTTTTCATACAATTTTTTCCACAATATTTTCCTTCATTTTTATTTGAGTCTTTATTTCTTGTCCATTCTTTTTCTTTCTTTCTTTCTTTCTTTCTTTCTTTCTTTCTTTCTTTCTTTCTTTCTTTCTTTCTTCTTTCCAAATGTCTCACGTTACTTCTAATTTATGCGTCCCTATCTTTCTTTGTTTCATTGTTAATTACTCATTTCTTTCTTTCTTTCTTTCTTTCTTTCTTTCTTTCTTTCTTTCTTTCATCGGGTTCTATTCAGTCGTTTCTTTTCTTTCTTTTTTCTTTGTACTTACTCTAATTTCTTTTATCCTTTCTTATTCACCCAACTCTTTCTTTTTTCTTTTATCCCCATTCTCTCATTCATTTTTATTCACCCGTCTCTTTCTTTCTTTCTTTCTTTCTTTCTTTCTTTCTTTCTTTCTTTCTTTCATCGGGTTCTATTCAGTCGTTTCTTTTCTTTCTTTTTTCTTTGTACTTACTCTAATTTCTTTTATCCTTTCTTATTCACCCAACTCTTTCTTCCTTTCTTTATCCCCATTCTCTCATTCATTTTTATTCACCCGTCTCTTTCTTTCTTTCTTTCTTTCTTTCTTTCTTTCTTTCTTTCTTTCTTTTCCGGTTCTATTCAGTTTTCTTTTCTTTCTTTTTTTCTTTTCTTTTTTTCTTTTTTCTTTCTTATTCACCCCAACTCTTTCTTCCTTTCTTTATTCCATTCTCTCATTCATTTTTTTCATCGGGTTTCTATTCTTCTTTCTTTTCTTTTCTTTTCTTTTTTCTTTTTTCTTTCTTTCTTTCATTTCTTTCATCCTTTTCTTTCTTTTTCTTTGTACTCTTTTTCTTTTATCCTTTCTTTTCACCCCTCTTTCTTTCATCCATTTTCTCATTCATTTTATTCCGTCTCTTTTCTTTCTTTCTTTCTTTCTTTCTTTCTTTCTTTCTTTTTTTTTTTCTTTCTTTCTTATTTCTTTTCTTTCTTTTTTCTTTGTACTTTCTTTTCTTTCTTTTCTTATTCACCCAACTCTTTCTTCCTTTCTTATCTTTCTTTCATCCAGTTTATTTTCTTTCTTTCTTTCTTTCTTTCTTTCTTTCTTTCTTTCTTTCTTTCTTTCTTTCTTTCTTTCTTATTCTTATTTCGCTTTCTTTCTTTCTTTCTTTCTTTCTTTCTTTCTTTCTTTCTTTCTTTCTTTCTTTTCACCTCTTTTCTTTTTTGTTTCTTTCTTTCTTTGTCCAATCTCTTTCATACTTTCTTATTAATTAGCCTCTTTCTTTTTTTTATTTCTTACTTTGTTCAAATTTTTTTTTCGTTACTAATCTAATGATTTTAATCCTCACTGGGGATCCCGATTCTGTACCCTTACCTTTACTTCCTATTTTGTGCTTGACGTCGTGGCCTATGATAGAATCGCGACATTATTTACTTCTGCCTTCTATTCGGCCGTTAACAGTTCGTTATGTCTCTGTGCCCAACTGAAAGAGGCTTAGTGAAATCTCGAATTCGATGACTATATTTGTTTGTGTAATGAGTTCCAGACTGACAAGAAGCACCGATTTTTTTGCCTTATGCCAGACTAGGTAATAAAGGGTTTGCTACAGATATATGTTTATAAGCTTGTTTCGAGTCAACTTTTCTGTGGATTTCATTTTTTTACTTTTTACTTTATTTATTCTGTTCTTCCAAAATGTTTCTATCCTTAATTCCATCTTTCGTTCACTTATTTTTTCTTCTTCTTCTTCTTCTTCTTCTTCTTCTTCTTCTTCTTCTTCTTCTTCTTCTTCTACTACTACTACTACTACTACTACTGCGGCTCCACCTCCTCTCCAAATCCTTATATTTTCATTCTCCCGCTCTCCCCGACCCCTTACTCTTCCCTCCTTACTCAACCTTCCTGAATATCTTCTTATTTTTAAACATTTTATTACTTCTTTTTTTTTCATCTTTTCTTTTCCTCATGTAATCATGAGCCTCTTCTGTCGAATATGCCCAGTTATAAAATATAGACGCCCCGAACAGAAAAAAAAGTCTCAGTTTTAGGTTCATTCACCTTCCATAAGTCAGAAGTTAACTCAGTTGGGGAACTGCTGGCGAGGTCAGATACTTTGCCCTTCTCGATTGAGGAACTCCCTCACACCGCTTTCCCCCTCAAAAAGGGAAAAATAGTACAAATTGGAGAAAACGCTAACAGTGTAATTGAAAATGTTTGGCCACGTTCGTTCATAATTTTCAGTCAGAGGAAGTTCAGTATATATATATATATATATATATATATATATATATATATATATATATATATATATATACTGAAAAGAAAAGAAGAAGGCAAGAAAGAAATAAAGCAAGCAAGAAAGAAAGCAAGCAAGAAAGAAAGAAAGAAAGAAAGAATGCAAGCAAGCAAGAAATAAAGAAAGAAAGCAAGAAATAAAGAAAGAAAGCAAAAAATAAAGAAAGAAATAAAGAAAGCAAGAAACAAAACAAGCAAGAAAGGAAGAAAGCAAGAATGAAAGCTAGAAAGAAAAGAAGAACGCAAGAAAGAAATAAAGCAAGCAAGAAAACAAGCAAGAAAGAAAGAATGAAAAAGAGGATGACAGAAAGTAAAATGAAAGCGAGGAAGAAAGAAATAAAAAGAGGAAGGAAGGAAGGAAGCAAGAAAGAATGCTAGAAAGAAATGAACGCAAGAAAGAAATAAAGCAAGCAAGACAACAAGGAAGAAATAAAAATGAAGGCATACAAGAAAGCAAGCAAGCAAGAAAGAATGAAAACGAGGATGACAGAAAGTAAAAAGAAAGAAAGAAAGAAAGAAAGAAAGAAAGAATGCAAGCAAGCAAGAAAGGAAGCAAGAAAGAAAGCAAGAAATAAAGAAAGAAAGCAAGCGATAAATAAAGAAAGAAAGCACGCAATAAAGAAAGCAAGAAAATAAACAAGCAAGAAAGGAAGAAAGCAGGAAAGGAAGAAAGCAATAATGAAAGCAAACAAGAAAGAAAGCTAGAAAGAAAAGAAGAAAGCTAGAAAGAAAAGAATAACCCAATAAAGCAAGCAAGAAAACAAGCAAGAAATTCGAATGATGGCAAGCAAGAAAGCAAGCAACCAAGAAAGCAAACAAGAAAGAAAGAATGAAAAAGAGGATGACAGAAAGTAAAATGAAAGCGAGGAAGAAAAAAAGAAAGAAAGAAATAAAGGAAGGAAGGAAGGAAGGAAGGAGGGAAGGAAGGAAGCAAGAAAGAAAGCAAGAATGAAAGAACGCTTATTTTCATAAATATAAGATTAATGAAGATTTATTTTTAAACTAAAAAAATGAAAAAAAATCTGACGCAAAATTTAATTAATAAAATAATAAAAAATAAAATGTGTACCAACTTAAATTAAAACCTTATTTTATACTCTCATAATTATAATTATACCCGGTGCAGCAAAAATACCTCCCACATATATCTGCCGCTCCCTGTATAAATATGACGATATTATAAAATTTATTAAATCAAATTTTTAAGTTATGATATAACAAAGCGATATGCCTTGAAAAAGCAGCCTCATACAGTCTGTTATATTTTTCTCCTGTAGTAAGTTAGGCACGTGCGTTATGCCTTGCCACGGCCACTGATAAATAATGAAAAAAATATATCAGAGACGTTGCCTGGCTTTAGTGAGAGAAAAAAGGACCGGAAGAGAGTTCTACAAGCGAGAAGTGCGAGAAAAGAAACTGTTAGCGTAGAATTTACGGTTACATTTAGCCAATTCAACTGTAAATTGATGAGACCTAGCTGCTAATCTAGAACTGCGCTTAAATTCATAAGATCTAGGTGCCATAGCTAAGACCTCGTCCGAACAATTATAATTTATAGAAAAGTCACAGGGAAGCAACTTTACGCCGGTTGGTCGGAAAGTGAGTGAAGCTTAGACGTCAGGTTAGGACCAATAATATTGCTGATTCTTCTTTTGCTTTTATCAAGCCTCTCTAAATATATAGCAGGAGGAGCGGGCCATATGTGGCAGCAATATTCTAAGCATGGACGAATGATAAACTTATATATATGTAAGATAGATGTTGGAGAGAAAATTTGTTGAGCACGACACAATGAACCAAATTTCTTAGCAACTGACTTGGCAATGAATTTAATGTAGTCTTTCCACTTCATGTCAACCGTGAAATTTAACCTGAGAAGACGCAACGAGTCACTCAGCTGGAGGTTAGCATTATTCATACTGATAGAAGGCATAAAAGGGTATCAGATGATTGATAGAAAGTAGTATTGTTTTAATGGCGGTAAAATTAACAAGCCATTCCTTGTCCCTGTTAACAACGGACTGTAGGTTGTTTTTGAGACCAATTTGACCTTATGGAACTGACCAGACTTACTATCAAGACATGTGTAAATGGTTTTGTCATTGGTATGGATCAAAAGTTGAGAGCTGTTGCAATTAGGAAGGTCGTTAATGAACATTAAAAACAAAATAGGACCAAAGGCCACCTGCGTTAGTACATAAAGATCTTGAAGAGTTGCCGTTCAGGATGACTTTCATTTCACGATTTGATAAAAAAATACTCAACCAGTTGAAATAACTCATCTAGAAAGATCAGAACATTTCAATTTATGAAGAATGTCGTGATGTTAGACCTTGTCAAACCCTTTCAAGATGTCCAAGGAAACAACACGAGCTTCACCATTCCTATGTAAATCTTGATAGACTCCATCCACAATACTGTTTAATACATCAGCAGCTGACCTAGAGAAACGAAAGCCATATTGCTTGTCTGAAAGAGGGCCCAGTGTTGTGAGATGCATAAATAATTACGCATTGATTAGGGTCTCTAGTAGTTTGCCAAAAAACAGGTAGTTAGAAGGGTCGGACGTTTTACATGAGTTCTTAAGATCTGAAGCAACAGATGACGATTTCAAGCATGAAAGCAACAGGCTTAGTTAGTTTAAACAGAACAAGGGCATATGTTGGTTTCAGGATACGATTCTGTAGACAGAGATATTTCAGGAGACTATTTTTACTGACCTGAGAGCAGAGCAAGTTCGTACTAAACCCGAAACACAAGAGTGAGGCGAAGGGCAAGCATGATTGCGGGCCCCCGGGCAGTGTTTTCTGACCTTCGCTATCTTATCAGCATTTGGCATTTTCTACCTAAATTTATATACAAATTAAACTAAGCACAACTGACTAAAAAACAAATATTCGTGAATTTTTATGTCAATTTGAGTTTTTTTTTCTCTTGTACTGTTGTGTCGGAAACCTACCACCCCTCTTGAAGATGAACTTGTCTGCGTCTGTGAACAGAGACTTTAAATAGTGGCATGTCAGTTGACATGGAGAAGATAGATAGACAGAGAAGTTCTTAGCTGAGCTAGTTATTGACTACTCAGGCGATTTCTGTACATTTTTACCAACCTATCTTGTGTCGTGGCACAATAGTAAAAATAAGAAAATCGAAGTTGGTTTTAAGAACAAGTGTATTTAACATCACAGATACAAAGGTAGGAAACGGGTACTACTCAGCTAGGCAGTTGTAGTACTGTCGCTGCTTACACCGGGTAGGTATTACTGGCACAATATATAGTGAGAACCGGTGTAATTCCCTTGTGTTAGAGGCCGGTGCAACACTATTAAAACCCTTTTTATTGTTACGTGTTATTTGGCGTTTGTCTCTACTAACCCCAAATCAACATCATAACATGTACAAATCGGTGAAATTGTTTTGTTCAAATAACTCGAAAAACGCTGTATGATATTTTTAACAAGAAAAATATCTAGTTGATGTTAAAAATTGCCGCAAAAAATTGTTGAGTTATTGAAGATGGAATGATCTAGTATGACATGTCTCTAATTTGTATTTAGATCAGATTGTATTTGTTTTCAATTTTTTAGCTGAATTGCATATGATATATTATTGTACCTAATTTACAATACATTTTTTTGTTTATATGAATACTACCTTATAAAAATTGAGATGTAGTAAGGTGTGTGGCGCACGTATCATACATTCGGCGGGACATGAAGACTACTGTACCGACTCTGCATGAGGGAGACCTGGGTCTGCCCCTAAGGTAACGATGCTATGCATGTATTTGTTACACTTTTTGGGAGAGAGAATGGTAGTTGGAAAGAAATACAGAAAGAGAGAGAGAGAGAGAGAGAGAGAGAGAGAGAGAAAGAAAGAAAGAAAGAAAGAAAGAAAAATTAATTGGTAAATGCAAAAGTAAAGAAAAAATTCTATGAATTTGACTTTTGATAGATAGATAAATAGATAGATAGATTGTGAGTCTGTAAGCCGTAAGCGAAGGCGTATAGACAAAAAAATGATAAACAAAAAGAAAGAAATTTTAAAAAATACCAAGAAAGAAAGGCAGATGTTAAGAAAAAAGAAAAAGAAAGAAAGAAAGAAAGAAAAGAAAGAAAGAAAGAAAGAAAAGAAGAAAGAAAAGAAAGAACTGAATGGCAGTCATGGTCGTTACAGCAACAGAAAGAAAAGAAAGAAAGAAAAGAAGAAAGAAAGAAATCACTGAATGGCAGTCATGGTGATTACAGCAACAGAAAGAAAAGAAAGAAAGAAAAGAAAGAAAGAAAGAAAGAAAGAAATCACTGAATGGCAGTCATGGTCGTTACAGCAACAGAAAAAAAGAAAGAAAGAAAGAAAGAAAGAAAGAACTGAATAGCAGTCATGGTCGTTACAGCAACAGAAAAAAGGAAAAAGAAAAAGAAAGAAAGAAAGAAAAGAAAGAAAGAAAGAAAAAAACTGAATGGCAAGTCATGGTCGTTACAGCAACAGTCGTTACAGAAAAAAAAAAAAGAAAGAAAGAAAGAAAGAAAGAAAGAAAGAAAGAAAGAACTGAATGGCAGTCATGGTCGTTACAGCAACAGAAAAAAAAAAAGAAAAAAGAAAAGAAAGAAAAGAAGAAAAAGAACTGAATAGCAGTCATGGTCGTTACAGCAACAAAAAAAAGAAAGAAAAAAAAGAAAGAAAGAAAGAAAAACTGAAAGGTCGTTACAGCAAAGAAAAAAAGAAAGAAAGAACTGAATGGCAGTCATGGTCGTTACAGCAACAGAAAAAAAAGAAAAAGAAAAAGAAAGAAAGAAAAGAAAGAAAAAAGAAAGAACAGAATGGCAGTCATGGTCGTTACAGCAACAGAAAAAAAGAAAAGAAAGAAAGAAAGAAAAGAAAGAAAGAAAAAAAAAAAAGAACTGAATGGCAGTCATGGTCGTTACAGCAACAGAAAAGAAAGAAAGAAAGAAAGAAAGAAAGAAAGAAAGAAACTGAATGGCAGTCATGGTCGTTACAGCAACAGAAAAAAAAGAAAGAAAAAAAAGGAAAGAAAGAAAAAGAAAGAAAAGAAAGTTAGAAAGAAAGAAAGAAAAAAAAAAAAAAGAAAGAACTGAATGGCAGTCATGGTCGTTACAGCAACAGAAAGAAAGAAAGAAAGAAAGGCAAAGAAAAGAAAAAAAAAAAAGAAATAATGAACTGAATGGCAGTCATGGTCGTTACAGCAACAGACAGAAAGAAAGAAAGAAAGAAAGAAAGAAAGAAAAAAAAAGAACTGAATGGCAGTCATGGTCGTTACAACAACAGAAAGAAAGAAAGAAAGAAAGAAAGAAAGAAAGAAAGAAAAGAAAGAAAGAACGGAATGACAGTCATGGTCGTTACAGCAACAGAAAGAAAAAAGAAAAAAGAAAGAAAGAAAGAACTGAATGGCAGTCATCAACAGAAAGAAAGAAAGAAAAGAAACAGAAAGAAAGAAAGAAAGAACTGAATGGCAGTCATGGTCGTTACAGCAACAGAAAAAAGAAAAAAAAGAAAGAAAGAAAGAACTGAATAGCAGTCATGGTCGTTACAGCAACAGAAAAGAACAGAAAAAGAAAAAGAAAGAAAGAAAATGGCAGCCGCGTTAACAGAAAGAAAGAAAAGAAAGAAAGAAAGAAAGAATGAATAATGCAGTCATGGTCGTTACCGCAACAGAAAGAAAGAAAGAAAGAAAGAAAGAAAGAAAGAAAGAAATGGCAGAAAAGAAAGCAACAGAAAGAAAAAAAAGAAAAAAGAAAGAACTGAATGGCAGTCATGGTCGTTACAGCAACAGAAAGAAAGAAAGAAAGAAAGAAAGAAAGAAAGAAAGAAAGAAAGAACTGAATGGCATAGTCATGGTCGTTACAACAACAGAAAGAAAGAAAGAAAGAAAGAAAGAAAGAAAGAAAGAAAGAAAGAAAGAACTGAATGGCAGTCATGGTCGTTACAGCAACAAAAGAAAGAAAGAAAAGAAAGAAAGAAAAGAAAAGCCGAAAACAGAAAGAAAGAAAGAAAAGAAAGAAAGAAAAAAAAGCAGAACTGAATGGCAGTCATATCGTTACAGCAACAGAAAGAAAGAAAAGAAAGAAAGAAAGAAAACAGAAAGAAAGAAAGAAAGGAAGAAAGGAAGAAAGAAAGAAAGAACTGAATGGCAGTCATGTTAGTTACAGCAACAGAAAGAAAGAAAGAAAGAAAGAAAGAATGAACTCAATGTCAGTCATGGTCGTTACAGCAACAGAAAGAAAGAAAGAAAGAAAAAAGAAAGAAAGAAAGAAAAGAAAAAGAACTGAATGGCAGTCATGGTCGTTACAACAACAGAAAAAAGAAAAGAAAAGAAAAAAAAGAAAGAAAGAAAAGAACTGAATGGCAGTCATGGTCGTTACAGCAACAGAAAGAAAGAAAGAAAGAAAAAGAAAAAAGAAAGAAAGAAAGAAAGAAAAGAAAGAAAGAAAGAAAAGAAAGAAAGAAAAGAAAAACTGAATGGCAGTCATGGTCGTTACCGCAACAGAAAAGAAAGAAAGAAAGAAAGAAAGAAAAAAAGAAAGAAAGAAAGAAAGAAAAGAATGAATGGCAGTCATGGTCGTTACAGCAACAGAAAGAAAAAAGAAAGAAAGAAAGAAACTGAATGGCAGTCAACAGAACAGAAAAAGAAAAGAAAAAGAAAGAAAGAAAGAAAGTCATGAAAGAAAGAAAGAAAAGAATGAATGGCAGTCATGGTCGTTACAACAGAAAGAAAGAAAGAAAGAAAGAAAGAAAAGAAAAGAAAGAAAGAAAGAACTGAATGGCAATCATGGTCGTTACAACAACAAAAAGAAAGAAAGAAAAAGAAAGAAAGAAAGAAAGAAAGAACTGAATGGCAGTCATGGTCGTTACAACAACAAAAGAAAGAAAGAAAAGGAAGAAAGAAAGAAAAGAACTGAAAGCAGAAATGGCAGTCAGGTTTACAACAACAGAAAGAAAGAAAGAAAGAAAGAAAGAAAGAACTGAATGTCAGTCATAGTCGTTACAGCAACAGAAAAAAGAAAAGAAAGAAAGAAAAGAAAGAAAGAAAGAAAGAAAAGAAAGAAAAAAGAACTGAATGGCAGTCATGGTCGTTACAGCAACAGAAAGAAAGAAAGAAAGAAAGAAAGAAAAGAAAGAAAAGAAAAGAAAAGAAAGAACTGAATGGCAGTCATGGTCGTTACAGCAACAGAAAGAAAGAAAGAAAACAAAAGAAAGAAAAAAGAAAAAAGAAAAACAGAAAAAAGAAAGAAAAAAGAAAGAAAGAAAGAACAACTGAATGGCAGTCATGGTCGTTACAGCAACAGAAAGAAAGAAAGAAAGAAAAGAAAGAAAGAACTGAATAAGTCATGGTCTGAATGGCAGTCAGAAAGTCGTTACAAGAAGAAAAAGAAAGAAAGAAAGAAAAAAAAAAGAAAGAAAGAAAGAAAGAACTGAATGGCAGTCATGGTCGTTACAGCAACAGAAAGAAAAAGAAAGAAAAGAAAGAAAAAAAGAAAGAAAGAAAAGAAAGAAAAGAAAAAGAAAGAAATGAATGGCAGTCATGGTCGTTACAGCAACAGAAAGAAAGAAAAGAAAGAAAGAAAGAAAGAAAGAAAGAAAAAAAAAAAGAACTGAATGACAGTCAAAGAACTGAATACAGTCATGGTCAGAAAGAAAAAGAAAGAAAAAGAAAGAAAAGAAAAGAAAGAAAAGAAAAAAAGAACTGAATGGCAGTCATGGTCGTTACAGCAACAGAAAGAAAAAAAAGAAAGAAAGAAAAAGAAAAAGAAAGAAAGAAAGAAAGAAAAAGAACTGAATGGCAGTCATGGTCGTTACAGCAACAGAAAGAAAGAAAGAAAAAAGAAAGAAAGAAAGAAAGAAAAGAAAGAAAGAAATGAATAGCAGTCATGGTCGTTACAGCAACAGAAAGAAAGAAAGAAAGAAAAAGAAAAGAAAAAGAAAGAAAACAGAAAGAAAGAAAGAAAAGAAAGAAAGAAAGAAACTGAATAGCAGTCATGGTCGTTAATGCAACAGAAATGGTCGTTAGAAAAAACAAAGAAAAAAGAAAGAAAGAAAGAAAGAAAAAAAGAAAGAACTGAATGGCAGTCATGGTCGTTACAGCAACAGAAAGAAAGAAAGAAAGAAAGAAAAGAAAGAAAGAAAGAACTGAATGGCAGTCATGGTCGTTACAGCAACAGAAAGAAAGAAAGAAAAAAGAAAGAAAGAAAGAAAAAAGAAAGAAAGAACTGAATGGCAGTCATGGTCGTTACAGCAACAGAAAAAAGAAAGAAAGAAAAAAGAAAGAAAGAAAGAAAGAAAGAAAGAAAGAAAAAGAAAAACAGAAAGAAAGAAAGAAAGGAAGAAAGAAAGAAAGAAAGAATGGCAGTCAAAGAAAGAAAGAAAGAAAGAAAGAAAGAAAAAAGAAAGAAAGAAAGAAAGAAAGAAAGAAAAAAGAACTCAATGTCAGTCATGGTCGTTACAGCAACAAAAGAAAGAAAGAAAGAAAGAAAGAAAAGAAAAGAAAGAAAAGAAAAGAAAAAACAGAATGGCAGTCATGGTCGTTACAGCAACAGAAAGAAAGAAAAAGAAAGAAAGAAAAAAAGAAAATGAAAGAAAAAAGAAAGAAAGAAAGAAAGAAAAGAATAGCAAAGTCAATGGTCGTTACAACAACAGAAAAAGAAAAGAAAAAAAGAAAAGAAAAGAAAGAAAGAATGAAAGTCAGGTGGTTACAGAAAAAAGAAAGAAAGAAAAAAGAAAGAAAGAAAGAAAAAAGAACTGAATGGCAGTCATGGTCGTTACAACAACAGAAAGAAAGAAAGAAAGAAAGAAAGAAAAGAAAGAAAGAACTGAATGACATGGTCGTTACAACAGAAAGAAAGAAAGAAAAGAAAGAAAGAAAGAAAAGAAAGAAAGAAAGAAAAGAAAAAAAAAAAAAAAAGAACTGAATGGCAGTCATGGTCGTTACAGCAACAGAAAAAAGAAAGAAAAAAGAAAAAGAAAGAAAGAAAGAAAAGAAAAAAGAAAGAAAAAAGAACTGAATGGCAGTCAT